TAATATATATATATATATATATATTAATGTTCACTTATATAAAGTAATATGTTAAAAAAAATAAGTTTTGATAAAATAAAATTTGCACTATGCATGTTTACCTTTTATACTTTCTATTTATTGTATACGTTGATTAAAAAGATCAAAATAGTAAAGATTGTAAGATTGTATATGTTGATTAAAAAAATTAAAATAGGAAAGGTTGGAAGATTTATATTCTATTTTGAATTTGTATTATAAAATATATTTTAAAATAAATTATCATCTAAAAATTTATATTAGATATTAAAAACATTTTATATCATAAATAAATTAAAAAAAATTATATAAAATTTAACATATTTATTTTTATGGTTTTATTAGTGTTAAATTATTATAAAGTAGGTCTTTAAAATTGTAGTTCTAACCAAACACTTAAAAAATATCTATGATAGATAAATAAGTCATACTAAAGACATGTCATTTTAAAGAAAGTTAGGTTCAAATCTATTAAATTATAATATAATATAGTCTTACCCGATTTATTTTCATCCTTAATCATAATTGTAAATATAAAAAATTGTAAAAATAATTATGATATATATTTATACTTTTAAAAGTCATATATAAAATTTTTAATACTACAAATATATGAGTAAGTATTGCTTCACTACCTAAAATTTATGATCCGTCGCTGACTACGAGTAATATCACTTAGTTATAATTGTCAACATTTTTTATTTAATTTTGAATAACATGTCAATGGTAAATTTATGTTGTTTAATTTAAAAATTAAGAAGATTAAATTTATAATTTAAAAAACTGTATATTTACATAATTATAAAGAGAAAACTGGATTTAAATCATATTATTATTATTTGAACTTTTAAAAGAATAAATAAATAAATAGTAGTTTTTTTTGAAAGTGTATGGTCTCATAATTTGGAAGAAGTGAAAGTTGACCGGGTGGACGCTAGCCAGTGACGTGCCGCCGCTGCTGCAGCATCCGTGTTGACCGATGAAAGGTGCAAAAGAGTTTCCGCGTGAACCGACTGTGACCCACTTTTACTTGTTCACATAATTGCTATTTAATAACCATATCTGCTAGTCATAGTTTATTTGTCATGTATTCACACTACGCACGACCTCTCTTCTTGTCATAAATTTATTCTATAAACAACCATTAAATCTTTTTTTTTTCTGTTATTTATGTTTTTCTTTTCTGGTTTCTCATTTTTTTTTTAATTTTTATTCTTTGTTGATTTGTGATGGAATTGTCCCCTCTGGCCGTTTATGAGCTGGTCAAAAGAATAAAAAATCCTGCTCTGGTGGATTTATTCTTCTTTTGTGGTGCGGAATTCTTCTTATATATAATTTTTAATTTGATTTCTACGCATCATGCTTCTGCAATGGAGTCTCTCCTCATTCTATTCAACTTTATATATGTTAAATAATAGGGGTTCTTAAATCATAACAAAGCGTTGAATGTTCATATTGAAAAAGTTAGGAGACTACATGACGACGCTAATTTTCTTGTTTAATAGCATTTCAATATATCAATATCTGCCTATTATATCAAAATTCTTATATATATTGTGACTCTTGCTGCAACATGACAGATATGTTATGAAATGTTCCCTCAAACTGTTTATGAGCTAGCCAAAAGATTAATAAAACCTTCTCTAGTGTGGGAGAATTAATTTAATTTTAATGCGATTTATATAATTTAGAATTTGATTAATTTCCACATCTTACGGCTTCTGGAATCTCTCCCTATATATTCTATTAGATTATTAGCCAAGATAATAAGGGTCCAAAATAAAATGTTGAATGGTGAATTGGTCATCATACAAAAAGTATGAGTGTTAGACTCTAAAGCCAGAAGTTTCCTGTTTAATGCCATTTGGATTAATTTTCACTCTATGATATGTCACCTTTCTAGTTAGAACTTTACAACATGATCAAATTCAATAATGCCGTTTGGATCAATTTTCAATTTATGATATCAGCTTTCTTGCTTAGAACTTTACAAAATTATCAAATTCAAAGACCCACTTCCATTGTTTATACGATTCAATTACATTACTATAGCTTTAAGGAACAAGAAGGGTGAATTCGTAGAAATCAACGGGTGAATCATTCTCTGTTTGAAGCTTGGTAATGAGTACAGCATCAATGTGCTTCCAAAATTAATTGGAATCCTAATGACTATACGACATTAATTGATATCCTCGTTTACTTTGTATCTATTGAATTGTATGATTGCTAGGGTAATCCTTGTCCAATTATTTTCCCAAGTTGAATAATTCAACCTTGCATGTGAACTCTTGACTCTTCAATCGTGAAAAATCAAATTTTGTTACACTATTAATAGTTCTTTCATTTAAATGTATCTTTTAAGATGTAGATAAAAAAAATATATACATCAGGTTGATTCATATTAAATTCTTATTTGTTTTTTTTTTATACAGAAATTCTTATTTGTTTTTAAAAATTAAGGTTTGAGTTTAATTTCTTTGATTGTAAGTATTAATTTTCAAAAAAATAGAATATCAAAAACATTTTAAAAAAAAATTGGAAAATAAAAGTAATAGGTATTATTTATAATAGAGAAATAAGAAATAATTTATATAAGGGAATTAATAATGAAAAAAAAATATAAATATAGAGAAATTAGTAGCTATTATTATTTATGTATTTTAAAAAATAAAATGGATAAAAGAGGAGAAAGTTGTCAATTAAAATAGATATAACATATTTAAAATAAAAATTAGTATTTTAGTTTGTGAAATATACATGTTAAATACTTATTACATATAACTAAAATTTAAAATAAATTATGTATATAAATCAATATTATGTTTGAATATATAAATTATATATAAATTTAAATTAATTTATATTTTTAAATATATAAGTTATATTTTAGATTTATGATAAATAATTTATATTGTAATGAAAGATTATTTTATTTAATGATGATTTTATTTTTAAAATATTAAAATTTAATTTAAAAATATTTATGATAATAAAAAAAAATATATATAAAACTAAAACAATCCATAAAAACTCTTTCGTCGAAGAAAAATATCAAAAAATACTTTTACACAACATAATTGTTCATGTTTTATATATTGGAGTTGATACAGTGATAAATACCAAATTTTTATATGATTTGAATATATTTATCATCCTATTTATAATATTAATTTAATTAATTTTTTTAAAAATATTCAAGTCATAAATTACTTGATAAATTAAAATTATGATAATATTTTGAAGATTAAAGTAACATCAAGTTAAATTTTTAGTAACTAAAATGATATTGAATTATAATTTTAGAGACTAAAATGAGATAGTGTTAAATTTTCAAGGATTAAAATAATATTATGTTATATTTATATGGGACATATACGTCATGTGATGCACTTACATAATATATATTACTTTACATATGTACCATATTTATGTCACATGTCATGTTTCATTTTAAAACAACTAGAATTTTTATAGTAAAAGGACTTAAATTAGTGATAAATTTTATTTTTGAAGATTTCTTTTTTAATTTCATTAAAATCAAAAATTAAATTGAGGGTGATGAGATATAATTTTATGGACTAACTTGATCATTTTATGATAAGTAAATTATTGTTGATTTAAAATATCTGACGATTCTTAAGCGTTACAAAAATTTTAGTGTCGTGAAAATCGCCGGAAAGGAAAACGGATTTGAAATTTTAGTGAGAGAAAAAAAAATGCGATTAATTCCAGTTGACACATATTTAATCCTTTATTTTTAGAGAAATTTTACTATATCCTTATATATTTAAATGATTTTGGGTTTTTTTTTGTTTTTTAAATATTTGATCATTTGATTTTAGAATTTTTTGATTTTTAATATGTTTATATTGTTCATTTCAACATATATTTTCTTAAAATTCTTAATATATATACTAAATATTTATATTTAGTAGGAATTTTTTATATATATATATTATCAGTCATGATAAATTAAGATTTTGTATATTTATATATAAATTATAAGGAGTAAATTAAATAATAAAAATTTATAAAATATTTTTTAACTTAAGCAGATAAAATATTGTAGTGTTTTTTTTTTTAAATTATTTTAATTTCTACAAACGATTTAAAATACTTGAGTTAACATTCGATGAAAAAAAAAATAATTACTTCACTTTGTATAAAAGAAATAAAAATAAAAAAAGATCTATCATTTACATTATTTTTATTAATTTAAAAAATAATTGTAACAAATATTTTAATTTATAAAAGTACTAATAATTCTCCATTAATTATCGGATGTAATAACGATAACACGTGTCTCGAAAGCACGTGGACTTGTCATGGAGATAAAGTAAGCTTAACTTGCAACAACAAGAACAATTTATTATTTCCCACGTATGATATACATTTAAAGTCCAAATAAAATTGTTAGAATTAAAACCAATTTTACGAAGTAAAAAACACAACAAAAGCTTAATGATTAATTGAGCACGTGATGGCGGCAGCGAGGCAACACGGGGAGCTATAAAAGATGAAAAGAGCGCAGAAGGCATCGAAAAGAAAAGAGAAAGCGTTGGAAAGAAAGGAAAAGGGGTGGATCAGTGGGAAAGAAAAGAAGAGAAAATGGGAAGGTGTTTGGTAGCGTTGGTGTTTGGGTTGGTGTTGACGATGAGTTTGGCAGAGGCGCAATCCGACACTAGCGCCTCTTGCGCCCAAGACTTGATTCCATGCGCCGATTACCTCACCAGTCCCAACCCACCCGCTTCTTGCTGCGACCCCATCAAACGCACCGTCGCAAACCAACTCACATGCCTCTGCAACATCTTCTATTCCCCTGGCTTGCTCCAGAGCTTCAACATCACCACCGACCAGGCTCTCGCACTCAGTCGCCGCTGCGGCGTCACCAGCGACCTCAGCAGCTGCAAAAACGGTACACACTTTTTTTTTTTAGATCTACTATTCATCATCTTATGTTACGTCACCTTACGTCTTTTTCTTTGTTTTCTTACTTACTACTACTCTCTTACTCCGTTTTGAGTACACGCAATTTTCAATTTTGTTAAATATTGCTTCATGCGTCTCCTTTGATGTGAATGCATTAATTATGGTTGTTGGTAGCATTTATTAATATTTTTTTTTTCCTTCTTATTTCCAGGGTCCGCTCCAGCTCCGACCACAGGGGCTCCGCCAGGTAAAACGCTTCCCAACATCACCAAATTTAATTATTCTCGTCACGAGTTTCATTTCCGCGGTCATAGTTGACCATAATAAAGATGCCGTAGACTTTCTTTCATCGATATAGATAACACTTCCAATAATGCAACTAAACAATGTTTCATTATTTTTAAGATAACAAGTTTAATTATTTGAATAAATTAACTATATTTAATCAATTAAATAAATTAATATCCTATTTTAAGAATATTGATTTGTCCCAGTGTCCCGCTAATCACGAGTTTAGTTTCGAATTTATGTAGGAAAATTATTTTTGGTAAAGTTAATTTTAAAGCGATAAATATGATCAAAATTGAATATAAATCAGATATGAATATTATTAAATCATTTGGAAATAGCACCGCCCCTTCAATATTTCAAATTAAATTAATCGGTCTAAATGTAGACCGGCTAATCACGCGTTTTCTTCTCATCTACCTACCAGTGTTAATGTGTTATGACTTTCTCTCTCTTACTTTTCTAATGACATTTGAAATGCCAAAAGCCAAATAAACCTTTGAAATGCAATGGCAGAAGGATATTCCAAGAGGGGACTGGGATTGGGATTAACTTAAGTGATTAGTCTGAGCGACACGTATATTTCGATACAATAGGTTAGCTTAGGCTTATGGTACTAGCCATTGGTCATCCTCATTTTAAGTTACAAACATAAAGCGTAAGTAGGCAACTTCGATTTCTCATAATACATTTTTCTCATTTTGTCTTTTTCCTTACTCTTTCTCTTCCATTTCTTCACGAGGTCTGTCGTCATTCATGAACTTTATGTTGTACAATAATATTTTACAGATTAATTAAAAAAAATTGTGTATTGACTGTGCATTTAACTTGTTATAAATTATTTAACTATATAAATTAATTTTAGCTGTATAAAAATTTAATTCATGTTTTTTTTTTTCCTTACAAATATTTGTAGAAAAATTTATCTGAATAATGGCTGAGTAGCGTAAATAGTTGAAGTTGCCGATATCTGCTAAGTTCAATTTCTTCCTTCATAAACCTGTAATTTTGCCCTTGCAGCCACACCTGGAAGTGACAAAGGAGGAGCAGACAGAATCACATTCACGGGACTTTCTTTCCTTCTCTTATTTTGGGTATCTACTATGCTGTTTAATTAGGAAGGTGGCAGTTTATCCTTCGGAGCCTCTACTAAGTTGATGTTATCTTTGTATTTCCACACGTTTACTATTCAGTCATTTTATTTTCCTTTTTCTCTAGAAACCTCTTATTCAATTGAGTTCGTAAAAATGTTTATTTAGTGATTGGACATTCTTGTCAAAATTTAGTTGGTAGAGTTATTTATGGTGCTTTTGGTTACACCATTTATATAAAATCGGTTTGTTGTTCTTATGAATTAATAATAATAATAATTTTTTTTCCACAAATTCTACTCCAAATTTCTTTCATGTACTTTTTTTTTTTCTAACCAGGAGATTTGACTATTATTAATTTTTTCCAAATAAGCTAATTTTAGGAGTAAAGTGGTATTTTCAATTATTATTTCATGTTTTAGGTAAAAATCGACCTTATTCTTTAATTAAGAAATATAAGAATTGAATAACTTGTGTTAATAATTTTAAGGCTTAAATATGTTTTTAGTCCCTCAAATTTAAGATAAATTTGTTTTTGGTCCCTCAAATTTAAAACTGTTGTTTTTAATCCCTGTAATTTTTAAAAATCTTATTTTAGTCCCTTAGGTCACCAATAACATATTTGAAAGTGATTAATTAAGATAATTATGCAATATCAATCGGATTAAATGTGATATTTTCACTAATAGAGACACCAATAGGTAGATTTTATGCAATAATGTTTGATAAATTTCTTTACAAAATTTGAATATAAGGACTAAAATAAGATTTTTTGAAATTATAGGGACTAAAAATAACAATTTTAAATTTGAGGGACCAAAAACAGATTTACCTTAAATTTAAGGGACTAAAAACATATTTAAGCCTAATTTTAAATAACATACATTTGTTTAAAAAAAAAATAAAAAAATGAACTAGAAATACATATAAAAGCTCGGCTGATGTATTTGGCTCGTAAAATTGATGTTTAACGAGGAGTATTGCATATATAATTGTTAATGATAATAAGTAAGGCAATGCACTAATTACATAACGAACTGTTATTATATTTTATACTTTAATAATTAAGTAGAGAAAAACATAAATATAATAATTTAAAATTATCTTGGAAACAATTTTTTGATATATATACAATAATATATATGTATAGGAGGAATAACAACTACAAACATAAATATAAGTCTTTCAATGAGGTTACACGACACACACAATCATTCAAAACTATAAACATAAATTTTAAGTTGTTGGTAAGGTAATTACTAACTATAAACAGTATCAGAACAACACAGTCAACACCATCATCTCCAACATGTCACTACCAAAACATTAAGCTCACCCTTTGATCTAATTCGACCTTGCTCTAATAATAATATAATCATCGCAATCCAATTATAAGAAAAAACAAGGATACACTTAGAAACAACAAAGTAACACATAAAATAAAAGTAAGATGCGACTATATCAACAATATCATCGTCTTAACACAATTATAATTCAATTTCCAACTTAACCACACATATCAACATATAGTATAGCTTTACAAGTTGACAACTTTTCAACATAGTCTACAACTTATCATCATATCAACCTAGCAACACAACAACTTAATAACACAACAACATGATATGTTGTCATATATTTCAACTAAAAGACCTCTTACAACATAAGTGAGTAGTATAAGTGACTTGACCCTGTTAAACCAACTTAATAACAATCTTTTTGGACTTGTTAGATTAGTGACAAATTTGGATTTCAATCCACATTACAACATAATTTCTCAAATTTCATCACTTTAATTAGGAAAGTTCAATACCCATCGTCGAGAATAATATAACATGAGTATAGGTTTACCATGATACTGATATATATTAACCAAGTCACCTATGGATACAACCTGTTAACTATCCTCATGATATCACACACATTTTCCAATAATTAGTTAACATGAACAATTTTAGTGACTTGACTCTATTGAACCAATTTAACAACACGATTTTTTTAGACTTATTAGATCAACAACAAATTTATATATCAATCAACAACACAACATAATTTCTCGAATTTCGTCACTTAAAATAAGAAAGTCCAGTACCCATCATCAAGAATAATATAGCTTAGGTATGAGTCTACCACGACATTGACATGCACTCACCAAGTCACCTATGGGCACAACCCGCTAACTATATCCTCACGATATCATGCACATTTCTAGTAATCAGTTAAGGATTTTACCCCTCGACTTCATACCTTACTCAATTTAGTTGCTTCTAAACAGTATGACTCAATCTAACCTCCATATGTTATCAACTAAGGACCTAAAAGATACTTAACTTTCCACTTCAATAAGTAACTAAACTTAAGAAGGATTTTACAACAATTGAACTCTCAGAACATCACAACGCATATTTATACAATGAGATATATCAACTTTGTAAAACAACACCTATCTTATAGTTCTACGTCCATAGCATAACACAACTACATGCATTAAGCATTCGCCACACAACCTCATACAACAACATACCATTTGCATAATTCAGCACAACATTACTCAACAACATGCATAACACAACATAATACTACACATCAACATACTTTCCCTACATACACGACACAATATACAAAAATATACAACTTATACACATGCAATGCATTCATGCTCGATGTGATCTACTTGTGCATGATGTCATTTACTTACTCTCGATGTTAATAAGGTAAAGAGCCTCTAGAGCACTCATGCTCGGTTCCAATCCTCTCTCGCTCGATGTCAATGAATTAGAGAGTCTTTGTGCAAATCACACTTAACGCTATTAAACATGTGTTTAATGTCATCCAAGTAGAGAGTCTCTACTTGACCCATGCCTAGTGCTACATAACCCATGCCCTACATCATTTAGGCAGAGAATCATTGGCTTGATCATACCCAATGCCACTCAATCTATGTTCGTTGTCATGAAGTTAGAGAGCTCCTAAGGCAATCACACTTGGTGTCCCTTAACACATGCATGACGTAACCAAGTCAAAAAACTCCTAACTAACTCACGTCCAATAACTCACGTCCAATGCTACCTATCCCGTTGCACATTTCCCCAAGCCCAATGTTATATACTACATACACTACACCATGCAATGTAGACCAAGTGTCGCCTAATGAAATACTTCATTTTTAAATGTTGGTGTTTTGGACATTTAAAAATTTAGTAATCACTAAATCAAAGTATTTAATTGATACACATACAATTTATATAATTTTATAATATATCTTTAATTTTAAATTATATATTTAAATTCATACGATTTAATCAATGACTTATTAATCCAGCAAATTACCTACTAACTTAATATCTTAACCAAGTAGACCATCAATACTAATTTCAAAAATTTGCTCAATATTATTCTATACTTTCAACTTATTTTTTATACATCAAAGATAAAAACAATGTAACAAATAAAAATTGGCACCCCTTATTTCCTTATAATAAAGAGGAATAAATTTTTTTTATTAAGTCAAATAATTTTTAGGAGATAAGATAATACTTTAGTCACAATTTTATATCTAAAATGGGAATGAATACTGATTCTGAATTAAAGAACTCGAATATCAAATCGATTATATTAATGACTTTCAATAACTAATCTCTTTTGTTTGATAATGGGAAAAAGTAGATGAAGAGCAAACAAATACGTAAAATATAAAAAGGTGAGCATATTTAGCATTAAAAAAGTATATAAATAAAAAAGTATGCAAATACTAGTTATTTTTATCCACTTAATTATTTTTTCTTCTTTCTTGTATATCTTTTAAATTAAAGGCTTAATTTTTTTATTTTTTTTATAATTTCATGATAATTACATTTTAGTATTTATAATTAAAAATATTTTATGTTAATCTCTAGTACATATTAATTTTTTTTATTTCCTATTATTTATTACTATAAGATAAAATTCATAAAATTATAAATATAGAAAAATAAAAAATAATGCATAAAAACTAAAATAAAATATTTTTAATTATATAAACTAAAAGGTTATTTTAACACGAATGAAACATTTAAGGAAGGCAAAAAGAAAAAAAAAGAATGGGGCTGAACGGAGCGTGGAAGCATCCAGAAGGAAGTGACATGAAACATAGAGAAGTATGAGGTATGTAGGTTCCAACTTCCAACTACCCCAGTGCATTTTCTTCTGTTAGGTAATAGGTGGAGTATAATAAAGAAGAATAATTGCACCAAAATGACATTTCTGAGGTCCGTAGCCACAACTGCAACTGCTGTAGCAGCTATCCCTGCAGCCTTCGCCTTTTATTCTCATTCATCTTCTTCTTCTCTTCCTCGCTCTTCCCAATCCCCCAAATCCTCCAACAAATTGGGCCTTGTCAAAACATTGGCTACCCCTCCCTCTGCCCTCCACATGGCCCACGACCTCTCTTCCCAGGTTCGCCATTCTTTCCTCTCCCCCAAATTACTTAATTGCCCTCTCGTCTCTAATCTTGTTTCACTCTCTTTCTCTCGCAGCCTCAAGCTCTCTTGCCCGAGCTACTGGTCAGTTTAGTGCGACTCTATATCTTACTTGCCTCACTTTAATCAAATCTTAATTAATTCCTAATTGTCTCCTTTTTTTTTTTAATTGGGTGGTGAATTTGATGATGTCAGACGGAGTACATGGTGGATATGAAATGCGAAGGTTGTGTTAATTCTGTCAAAAATAAGTTGCAGGAGATTAATGGTAGGTGTTTCGGCGAAGTGCTTTTGCAATTTTTTTTCTGCTTGCAACGTTCAATCATGAATGAATGGAACTGAATTTATTAATTTGGATGCTTTCTACAAATTAAATCAAAACAATTCACAAATCTAATGGTGATGTCCATCTTCATGTTATTCCGGTTGTTTCAGGAGTTAAGAGCGTAGAGGTGGACTTGAGCAATCAGGTTGTTAGGATTCTTGGTTCAACGCCGGTGAAGACTATGACTGAAGCACTGGAGCAGACTGGTAGAAAAGCCCGGTTAATTGGACAAGGAGTGCCAGAAGGTTTGTAGCTCGTATTCTTGCTTTATTCTAGTTTCTCATTGTAAATTTTACTCTATTAATGACTATGTGATTGCTCGGTTAGCATCCAAAATCAATTTCACGCACTGTGCTACACATTTTATATTTGCGCGTGAGATTAATTTAGACACACATGCCAATCGTTTTAATGTAAAATTAACTCTATCATAATCAATTTTACCAATATCCAAAATATATAAATCATAAGGTAAACAATTCCCAATTAATCATATCTAGAATAGGAAATCCTAAAAGATATTAGCTGTATCAAAATAACAGATCCTAACATATTCTATCAGATTCTCTCTAATTGTTAGTTTCTGCGTCCACTCTTTTCTTGTTTTGCCCTACTTGAAGACTTATAACCAACGTGGGTCTAACATCACTCCCCTCTTACATTTTCACCTTGTCCTCACGGTGAAACACCAAAATTTGAGTGTGAACAATGCCGAATGGTTCCCAAATCTGCTCAAAAGAAGGCAAGTCTGACCATTAAATTAACACCTTTAGCTTAAATTATCTCTGTCTGATGCACCCCTCTAACAAATGCTGGTTTCATCATCCACTCCATGTCTTTGGTCCGTAATGGTGGTAGGGGTTGAACCTGTGGTTCTTCCAACCTGCCCAATCTCAATTCAGTTGGGAGATGTGAAAAACATGAGGGATTGCAGCAGACTCCAGAAACTCCAGTCTGTATGACACCTTCCCAATTTGTACTGCAAGGACAATGGCCAATAATTCCTAGTGCATTAATGAGGCTGAAAGGCATGACCAAGAACTTGTAATGGCCCTCAGCCCCTCATTAGTGCAGAAAGCTGTCTTTTCCACTTCAAAAACTAAGAAATTTTCAACTAAAATTCCTTGGATTTTGTACCGTCTAGGTAAAAACCCGACTAGTATATTGTCTAGGAAAAAACCCGACTAGTGTACCGTCTAGGTAAAATCACGACTAGACTCTCTACTCGTCTAATACCCGACTGGACCGTCACAGGGTGTGGCAACTCGGCTCTAACCCCAGTTACATGCACCCGCGAGGGGATTCGCCGTTTTCCCGACAGGTCCCCTTGTAAGGGCATTCTCGGTAAAATACCGACTTGACTAACAACCACTCACCCCCATGGCTTCAGGATAAGAGTGGTTAAGGAGAATCCCGATAATCTCGGGGCCCACGAAGCCCATGAATAGAAAAGTATAAAACCCCAAACCCTAGCGCTAAGAAGGCAGATTACACTTTTGAATGCTCTGGCTCTAAGGCACGATCTAGGAAAAAACCCTAGTCCACCCTTTGGCCGGAACATTTTGGCGCCCACCGTGGGGCTACGGTAAAACTCTTCCTACGCCCCAAGTCCCAGAGAAGAATCGGCGATCTACCATGGCAAGAGGCGGCAACAACAACAACAGCGCACAACCTCCAACGATGGAGGAGATGATGGCCATGATCAATGGCTTAAGGGAAGAGAATGCGCGTTCTAGGGAGAGAGAGGAAGCCATTCAACGTGAGAATGAGGCGATCAGGAGGCGAGCGGATGAGATGGAGGCCAGGTTAGAAGCTAGCGCCAGGACGGTAGAGGAGGATGTCATGCTGGAAGTCCCCAGGGATTTTCGACCTTTTTCGGAAGCAATAGAGGCCGAGGCCATCCCTAGGGATCATCGCATACCTCAAGTGGAGCCCTTTGACGGAACTCAAGACCCTAATCAGCATTTGATGGACTTCCGTGCTCAAATGCTGATCTGTGGAGGAAGCATGGAGGCTCGATGCAAATTGTTCATGGGCACACTCAAGAAGGCAGCGCTTGACTGGTTCAGCGGACTCCCGGACCGATCAATCACAGACTTTGACGTCTTTAGCCGGCTCTTCATGGCACAATTCGCCGCTAACAAGAAGAAACCGCCGATCACGTCAGACCTGTTCGACCTCAGGCAGCAACGCGAGGAGTCGCTGAAAGACTTCCTGCAAAGGTTCAACGAGGTTGCGCTGAAGATAGCGTCGTTGGACGAGAGGATGGCGGTCATTGCATTTCAGAAAGGTTTGAGATCGGGAGCTTTCGACATCGCACTCGAAAGAGCGAACTGTCAAACGATGTCGGAGGTGAGGGCTTTCGCCTTGAGCCACATCAAAACGGAGGAGAATCAGATTATTAAAAGGGCAGCGGAGGACCGAGAAGCAGGGGGCAGCAATAAGGAGGGAAACAAGCATCTTCGACCGCGCTCAGACTGGAGCAAACGGCGTGACCGATACAACATGAAGGAGGGCAGTTACAGGCAGGCCGAACAAAGTGGTCGGGCAAGGGGCGAATGGACACGCAACAATGAGGAAGAGAGGTTCATCCCACTTACTGTTCCCAGGCGTCAGATACTCCGCGATGTCAACAGCGCATCGTTGTTCAAATTTCCGGCGGCGACGGAGCGTCAGTTAGGGCCCTTTCTTACACATGACATAATGACATGACACGTGTCATGCCACGTGTCATGTCATCATGTCACGTGACATGATAGCATGACACGTGTCACATCTGTTAAGTATTTAAACAGAGAAAACGAAAGGTCAAACATTGAGATACATTTTAAAGATGTGAAACTAAATTGATTCAATTAATTAAAGTGGGACTAAATTGTCACTAATAAATAATATAAGGGACGAAAAAATATATTTTTGCCAAAAAATAATAATTTTATATTTAAGAGAGTAAAATAAATTTATCTTAAAAAAATAAAAATATATTTATTTAAGTTAAATAAAATATAAAGAATTATATTTATTTTATTTTATATTTTGATAATATTTTTTTACATCATTTTACTTTTAGTGATGACAAATTTAGTGAATAAGATTTCACACCTCAAAATCTTAAAACTTAAAGAGTACTTAACAGTTTTTTCTTTTAAGTAGTTTTATCTTATTCCACTAACTTATTTTGTTATATCATATTAACCCTTTTGAATAAAAAAAGAAGTATTTAAACTTAAAGTAACTTTTAAGATGAAGGGCGAAAAAAGTCTCCCATCCATATGAAGTTATTATTAATAGTTAAATATATTGTTAAAATAAATAAACAGTCATATACAAATAAATGATTCAATCTCTTTAACAGTTAAAAAATAACTTTATATGATAAGATATTTTTTTAGCCCCACACCTTGAAATTCACCTTCAAGAGTACTTTACAACAAAATTTATAGTTTTAACTTATTCTACTTGACTAACTTATTTTATTACATGATGTATTTAAGAATTTTGGTTTATTAAAATATGAGTTGTATTTATGACTTAATATATATTTTTCCTATGAGTTCA